TTCGTTATAACCAGTAAAAAAATACGTTGGTCTTTATGGACGACGTTTCAATTAAAGGAAAAAAGTTCGTTTTAACCGAAAGTTCACTATAACCGAGTTCATTATAAGCGGACTTTACTGTATTTAAATCACTTTTTCGCCAAGTCAAGGTGTAGGGATTGAGAGTGAAAATGAGCAGAAAAGTTAGCGGTTTTCACACGGCTGCGCTCAAGGCGTGTGAAAATCGCCAACTTTTCTGCTCATTTTCCACTGGCCACATTTAAAAAAATTTCAAGAAATCCCTACACCTTGACTTGGCGAAAAAGTGATTTAAATATATGCTTTTTGCGTATTTTATAAATACATATAAAGAGACAGAACCTCTAAATCAATTTACTCAATTTTTCCGATAGATCTCTGAAAATAATTGAACTGCAAATAAGTTTAAGCAAAATTGAAACTGAAAAATAATGCACGTTTTCCATACATAAGGCACCGATGATTTTTTTACTAAAAATTCCCCTCGGGTTCAAAAGCAGTAGTTCAGTAGTTCGGCCTATCAAAAGGTCGTTTTGCTAAAACCTCGCATAAATGGAAAAAAAGCTCTGACTTTTTTATTTCGAATTCGAGTTAAAGTTCGGCAAAATGAGTTCTTCGATTTAAAAAAAAATCTCAATTTTTCCGCATACTCAAAATCCCTTGTGGCACACGCGGTCGAAATCCTTGATTACATCAACTTTCGAACATGTCAATTTGCCATTGCCAATTGCATTTTCTTTAACTTTCAATCTAAGATTACACAGTTGATTTGCGCATTTTGAGCACGATAATTAATAGTATGTATTTGAAACAAACTGCTTTATGTGAGTTGATTTCTTTCTTGGTTCTGGCTTACTCCTATGAGAAAAACAACCAACTTTCGGCCTTAAATGGGACATTTGGGGCTTTGATGTGAAACCAAAAATCAACTGAGAACATCCGTAAACAGTTCCCAAGCTGTAAAATAAACAATTCGTATATACATAAAGCTGAAGGCCCGATTTCGTATATTGTTAAAACGTCATAAAGTCGACATTTTACCGCTGTATGTTTCTGACAGACCCTTTCGTCCCGTCATCCCCAGGGAGGAATTCATTTGTTTCTTGCTTGTCGGGATGCCCTCCTCCCGCCTCATTATTCATGCCGGCGTCGGAATTTTCAGTTTGACGTATAAAGTCTGGATAAAGAGTTTATGATGAGGACGCGGACGATAGTCGAGGTTTTATTAAGTTTTTGATTTAATGGCTATTTAGATTCATGAGCGAATGGTGATAATGGCGAATTTTCGAGGGTAAAGTTTCGGTGGCACTTAGTTTAAGGCGGTTTAGAACGTCTTTGGTCGGATGCAAAGATCGCAAAAGTTTGAGGATTTTCAGCCTGCATAACAACGTGAAACCATATTGTTGAGGCGGATTCATTTTTAACAAACTTCTTTTTGGGTATTTCGTCTCAAAAATTTTTGTCTTTAAAAAAGACAGAATTTCCTCACGTCTTTTATTACAGATTGATAAATAGTGC